GCCTAGTTGTAAAATTTTACATATTCTAGAGGAATTGTACAAAGCCTAATAAAGCTAAGGCATGACTGCTGAATTATAAAATAATAATAATAATAATAATAATGGAGTATTTTAGATATTAATAAAACATATAATCTACTTTTGGAGTACCCCAGAATGAGTAACTGGAGTGCTCTATTAACAACTTTACTTATTAGTAGTTAGAGTATTGGTTATTGTATTAAGCACTATTATTGTATTTGTATTTTTATTTAAATTTAAGAATTTTTGTTAATATTATTAACAAATATTTTCTATTATATTGTTTCTAATAGATAAGGTCAGAAACTGTTAATAAAAATCTAAAACATTATTAGAAAGGTATATTATCAAAAAGCAGTACAGTAAGTCAAACTATTCTGTTATTTTATTATTATTATTATTATTAATTGGGAGTCCACGAGTAAGCTAGAGAGTAATATGACTCAGATTACTATATAAATTTACTATAGTGCGAATGTGGCTTGCGCAAATCTAAAACTTTTTTTTATACTAAGTTAATTACTCTTCATTATAGTAAATTTATATAGTAATCTGAGTCATATCACTCTCTGGCTTACTCGTGGACTCACAATTAATTTTATATATAAACTATATATAAAATAGATATCAACTACTATTAATAAACAAAAACAAAAAGAAATTTCTCCAATCTTAATTAATGTTAATATATAATAATAATATTATTTTTAATTTATAATATATATTTTCTAATAATTATTTATTTTATTAGCAGGATGAAGAAACAATTGTTTTAAAAAAGGTCTGTATAGAATGTAACTCTGATATAAAAATTTGTATATAGAATTTTTTAAAAATTTTACTTTTTATTTAAAAAGGCAAAAACAACTAGTACTAATAAAAATAAAGAAAATATTATTAGTGATAAAAAATATGATTTTTTAAGATCTATTGCTTATAAATATAGTAGTAATAATAATATACTACAAACTCCTTCTTATCAAATTAACTATAATCAAAAACTTCTTGATAAACTAGAAGATAAAAAAGAAAAAGCAAAATCTCTTTTGTAAGTAAAATAGATAAAAATATCTTAAAAACATATAGTTAGATCTTTTAAATATATTTTTTTAGAATTATAGAAAAAAAATAAAAAGTATATACTTAAAAAGATCTAACTATATTATATTACTATATTAATCAGTTTATTAACTCTATTTATTATAGAGAACCAATTTGTTCTAATATTATCAATACTAGCAATAACTTCTTTATAAACTGACTAGGTATTAATTGTAGCTATAAATGGAAACCTATTAATAATAATACAATAGCATATATTAATGAACTAATTCAAAATATAAAATATATTTTATTTCTATTATTAAAGATAAAAACAAAACTAGTTACTATACAAATCTTTTAGTCAAGTTTTTTTTATTTTTTTATTTTTATATTCAATTTAACTTTATTTGTACTTTTTTTTATAAAATAATCATCATAATGAGCTTCATCAAAAGCTTCAAACTTTGACAGACAAATATATTATATGTAAAAAAAAGAAAGAGAATGTAGAACATCTGGTGAGCTGTGAAACTTCCCTGAACTTTCTCCGTGATTTAGAGGAGCAAGCAGTAGAAGCAACCTTGCTTGAATTAAAAAAGGTAGAAAACATAGAGACAACCAAAGAAGAAGTCTTAACAATATTAGGAAAGGGATCCCAAACTGAAAAATTACGCAGAAGAGAAAGATAGATCAGAGGCCTAATCACAAAAGAAAACTTTGATGAGTTGAGACCTCTTTTCAACTCAAATAATCAAGCAAAGAACTTTCTTGATAGACTTTGAAAGAATTGGATAAAAGAAGTATACAAGAGAATATGGGTTGCAAGATGTAAACTAGTACAGAAATGAGAAAAAGAAAATGAGATTGTGCCAAAAGATAAAAGAAGATCACATAAAAAGGCAAAAAAGAAAAAAAAGAAGGAGAAGCCTCCAGATAAACATACTGAGAAAAAAGAAAAAGATAAAAATAAAGAAAAGGATAAAAGATAGAGTTCAATTTTAGAAATAGCTAAGAGAGAGGTTCTAAGATGGATTGAAGAAGAGCAACAGGCAAATTGGTGGAAAATTAATTCATAGTCTTGACAGGCAGTAAGATCCGGCTAGTAATGTATTATTGAAGCTAATTGCAGGATAAGATAATACAGAGGCAAATCTTACTATAGCAGGTTATACATAGGTACTTAGTAAGCAACTGAGTGAGTCTCTACTTGTAATTTAGGTACTATAAAGTATTACTCTATAGAAAATTTTAATAGTTTAGATAATTATTACAAAGCCTAATAAAGTGAAGGCAAAAACTGCTGAATTTTTTTTAAAAAAAAAAAAAAAAAAGCTTCAAACTTCATATATACTATTAGAAGAAGCTTATTTATTCAAAGCACATTACAAATTAAACTGGGCTCATCAGTTTGCAAATAAATTGTAAGTTTTTATATTACTTTATTAAATATTTTATATTAAATATCTATATTTTAATATATACATTCTTTTTTTTTATTCTTGTATTAGGTTGTCTTTATTTGAAGCTTCTTAAAATCCTCTTCTTAATAAAATGCTGAAGGTTGAATAAATTGCCATATTTTAGCCCCACTTATTGATAAATGTTTTTTAACATGTAAAGAAATTCAAATTCATTGATAAATATAAAATATTTTTAGCTTTTTATCTTGGTATTCTATTCTAATTATTATTTTTAATCTCTAGTTGTGAAAAAATGTTTTTAGCTTTGATTATATATAAAAATTTATCAAGAGAAAAAACTGAAAAAAAATAACCAGGCCATAAAATTGATATAATTTTTTGTATTGATGACATAAAATACTTAACTGCAGAAATATTTGTTAATAAGGATCCGCAAAATTCTGGGCCAATATAAACTGTTTCGAGAAATGAAAGATCAGTTAGATCATTTACTTAAACAAATCAATTTTACAAAAGAAACAGTAAAACATGTAAAAAATATTATTTTACATGGATTATCCCATGAAGATAAATATAAAACTTAATATTTTTTTATTTTGTTATGAGTATTAATTAAATATATTTTATATTCAAAATAGGATATAATGGGATAATATATTCCATGTATTATGATATGGATATTCAATATTATTTTGTTTTCAAATCATGTCAATATAGAATTGGCACAACATGGAACAGTGTTCCCAGAAGTCTTACAGTCCTAAAGGATGTGCTAGGATTAAAAGTATGTTTCTATATATTGCAAAATTGTCAATCGAATATCCAGTCATTTCTAAATAATTTTTTTTTGATAATTACAGAATGATATAATTTGTGCACTAAATACTGTAAAAGAAATCAAAAAAATTGCCCTACAAACGGATCCAGATAATTTATTTTTCATTGATCTTCCGGAAACAACCACTACTCCCAACAAATCCGCCAAAAAACCGGTTGTTTAAATTAGAGTGCAATATCTTTTTTAAAAATATATAATTAATTCACAAGTACAAATAATTATAACAATACAGATTAAGTTTTGTCACTATTATTACGTATATAGAATGTCTGCATTTTTGAAAAGACTAGTTGACTATCAAGTCTTTGTTTAATTGTGCCGATCACTAAGGGTATCCAGATCGCTATTGCTATGTGAACATATGAAAAAATATGATACCATATTGACCGTGCACCTTAGTAAGGAAATTAGCATCGTTCTCTCAAGGTCTTGTTTGATTTTCTAAGAATAGCACTTGGCGTAGCTAAAAAAAAAAAGTACCGGTAGTTAGAGACTCAGCATCATTAATTGCAACTGTTTCATAAATTCCGGGACACCTAAATATTTGTTCTCGTTCTAAGAATGACCTAACTTTTCGAAAGCTACTTCGATACAGAAACATCGACATAGTTAGGCGATTCTTAGAAGAGGTTTCGGGAAATGAGCAAATTTTTAGGTGTCCCATAATTTATGAAAACAGCTGTAAAATAGTACTATCATGACATTGTACAAAACGAAGAATAACACCCATTACGGGAAATAGTTCGGTAGATCTCCGGCGCTCGAATGCCCTTGAATAGTCCTTAAATAATCGGAGATTTATACAGTATTCGCGAGAAATAAATAGTACGTATTATAATCTAACAATTTACAGAAATACAGTATGCCTAAGAACCAAGAAGGGTATGGCTTAGCCTAAGGCATGCTCTCTTGGGCATGCCTAAAGTTTTTTTCTCTTCTTTGCTCTAAACTAATGAAAAATCTTTATACGGGAAAAAGTGCACTTGAGTGTGCACTTACGGTCAACTAGATATAATACATTGTAAATTATATACAAATGATATGTTCTAGGATTGTATAAGATGCATTATAGTGTGTCGATTGTATTTAACGATACCCATATATGAATATATCGGAGAATTTTACTTCCTACTAATTTTCCGCGTAAAATTTTTTGATCGCTACAAATTGATATCAGTATATCTGTGCTCAATACAGTAATACGTATTATATGTTTTTGATTATCTGATAGTGATCATTATTTGTCATCTTTTGTCTTAAAAAGGACATATGTACTTATTACGTTAAAAATACAAATATAGTTGTCCTTTTTTTTTTTTTTTTTTTCCTTACATCACTTGGAAGGCGAAACCAAGCAAAAATGTCTTCAAATTATAATGATCCTTATAACTCTTACATTTCTCAACTAAATCTTTTGAATCCAGTTAACTTACCGGATACGTCTCAAGAGGAACTCGACACTCAGTTAGAGTTCTGGTCTAATGTACAATTCACTTTTGACGTTCAACCTAATTTGAATTTGATGGAAGATACTTTCGAAGTAGATACCAAAATGGAACAAGATGCACTAGCAGCTGCGCAGCCCACTATGTTAACTCAACAAGATACTTCATCCATTTCTGATACTCAACAAACAATTTATCATCCTATGCTCTCTTATCCCACTGCCAGTTCAATTATGACTACAAGTCTACAGCCTATTCCTGTCGCACCAGCTGTCACTACTACATCAAATACCACGACCTTTCCTCCGATATACCCAGCACCTCCTGTAGCTGTTTCCGATAATATGGTCAAAAATGATGATGATACATCAACAGTTTCTATTTCAAAGAGTTCTACCGGAATTACAAACCCACCGTCTCGTAAGAATTCATCATCAAAAGGATCAAAAACAGAATCCACTGCAATGCATATTGATTCTCAAGCACCACAGAATCCTGAATTGGCAGTTAAATTGGCAGCTGAAGAAGATAAACGAAGACGTAATACTGCAGCATCTGCTAGATTCCGTGTAAAGAAAAAAATACGTGAACAGGCACTTGAAAGAACTGTTAAGGAAATGACCACAAAGGCTGAAACACTTGAGGGTCGAGTGAAAGAGCTTGAGATGGAAATAAAATGGTTAAGAAGTTTAATTGTGGAAAAGGACGCTAGGTTGTTGGACATTGAGCGCCCTGATAAAAAACATAAGAGCGTAACTGAAAGCAAGAGTACAGAAGAGACCATAAAAGCAGAATCCGACGATAAATCAAACAAAAAGGATCAGGATGCCAAATAATACAAAGGTAATATTATTGCATTATTCATTTTTTTGAACTCTATTGGTTAAAAAAAAAACTTTTATATTCTATTTTTCTAATTTAGGATAAAATTTGTAAAAAAAAAAAAAAAAAAAATGTAATATAACCTCTTTATATATTGTTTGGGTTCGTTAAACGTAACAATTGTGGCCTTATTCACATCTTTTATGTGCATAAACCTTTAATTAAGTATGCTAGCTCTTATGTTATTCTTGACAAAATTATTTTAAAAAATATTTCTTATTCAAAAAAATTGTGTTAAAATTAAGAATGGATCAATCAAAAAAAACTGTTTATCTTATATATGAATATATTATAATTTTATTCGTATAATTGCTCAATATAATAATAATACAGAATAATATAGCCCAATAAAACCAGTTATAGATATCCTGTCATCCGGGACTTCTTACACTTGTGCAATGAAAACTAGTTATATTATAAATAGAGATTATCGTTATTATTTCTAATAAGAATTTTACTAATGTTAATATAATATATAATCATTATAAAAAAAATCGGCAATATCGTAATAAATTTTTGCTTGGTATAGCATTATTCTGTTGCTTTGTAAAGCTTACCAACTAAATGCGTATCGAGGGCAAAATCGTGATCTACCTCACCAAGGAAGCTAATGTTTCATCGTGATCTTTATATAATGATCAGGGTATTATACTAGCACTAGTGTTAATTTTAATAGACCCTGGTCTTTTGACCAATTTTATATGCAGCATATAAGAAAACGGAAATATTCCACTCAATTTTTACAATTATTTTTTACTCTGGCATTCAAAATTAAACGATAAACTTAAATCTGTTGTTTTTTGTATCAACAATGTAAATTTCACAATTATTACCTTTTTTATTGATCCATCAATTCTTTTAATCCTTTAAAATATTTTAGTTTATCAGATTTTTGATAATGTTTAACTCTAGCACTAGTTGAAGGGATTACAAAAACTTTGGTATAATCATCTTTTCTTTCATAATCATCATCATTCCAAAATATTTGATAAGATTGTAATCCAAAGTTCTTAGATTTCTTTTTTATACCATTAGATTGAATAGCATATTCAAATGCATCGAATGCACATTTTCCTATGAAACAAAGAATTTTTGGTTTATAAAATTTTACTTTTTGTAGTAATGATGGAATACCGTCACGTAATTCAGTTGTCGATAGGTCCTTTTAAAAGTTGAATAAATGAATATCTTATCAATACAGTTTAAGCCGATAGGTTCTTTTTTAATTGATCATGAGAATCTTTGACACTTACGGCAGAAGAACGCGTATATCGATTTACAACATTAATAATTCCAATTTTAAATCGTTTTATTAAAGTTTTATCATCTTTATATGTAACTATCTCATTGTTTGTCGCGCCACTTTCAACAAGGCATGGATAAAAGTGATTAGAATGATGTGCAAAGTGATGACCAGTTTCTGCGCTACGTTTTCCTGGATTAATCCCAACAAATAAAACTAAAAACGGATACGCAAATAACACAATAATAGATAATAATTAATACAAAATTCATCAAATATAGGTAACAGGGGTTAAATTTCTATGCATACCCTTTAAATTGAAATCTATAATATCAGGGACGCTCAAAACCTTATGTTCAGTATCTGAAATAACTAGTGAGCTTTGCGAATCGCCGCTTTGAATTTCTTTTATACGAAAATTATTTTTTGCCTTATAATATGGAGTATCAGAACAAGCTTTTAATTTTACCGCAGTCTTTCTTGTACTTTTTTTACGTGACTCCACTATGGAAGGTGTAATAGTACTTTGCTTCGGAGCTGCAGTTGCTACATTTAAAGGTGAATACAAGTATTGGGATAGAAATTCTTTAAACTCGACGGTAGAAGATTTACTATCTTTAGTTTTTATCATTATTTTATTATTATATAAAGTGAATCTGTATATCAAAAAAAAAATTGTCAGATTTACTGATTCTTAAATTACTGATATTTAGCCAATTAAATGTTAACTTCGAGTAAACATAACGATGAAGTTACCTATTTTTCGAAATTTAAAACGGTTCGCTTGAACAAAATAAGTTCTACAGAGTGAAGTTTATTTAACATCGAGGATAGAAGATGCATTCCTCCAAAAAACGAAATATGTATTTGCAAAAAAATTTTTATTCGATTAGTTGGATCAAATTAGTTACTATATATTAGGAATGTTAATTATATAGTTCAGCTTCAAGAATTTTGACCAGATTAAGTTCATAACGTTTAATTCATTATATATACTTTAATTAGTTCATTAACTAACATCCCATATTATCACATGATACTTGTATTACATTTAATTTATGTATATAGTTACATATAGTTACAAATAATGATAATTTTCATCCCAAGTGAACTATTCCACGATTTTAGAAAATGTTTGCAAGTGAAGATACACGTGCATTCGGTTAATATTATTTCATAATATATAATTGTGCTATAAAAATTTAATTTGTACTTGACAAACAATTATATTTATTTAATATAGGCCGTAACTCGGATAGTATATTTAAAGAATTAGATCAAATACGTAAAAAACAAATATCTTTAGCTGTTGAACATATTTCCTTGGAAAATTTGCCAGATGAAGAAATGTATAATATTTTCTATTATTTAGGTTTTAATTTCCTTCTTTATAATTTAAAATATTTAAATGTGATCTATATAAAGGCCATTCGCCAAAGAAACAGCTGAAGATTCTGAAGAAAATTTCAAAAAGAATTCAGAACAATTTACAAAGAAAGAACATGATCTAAATAATTTGATGACAAATTTAAATAATTTAATGGGAAAGGTTAGCTATAACATATTAATATTTATTGTGGTAGCTGATGCTGAAATTGGTCGATGCTGAAAAAATTTGAGGGCATTGTGTAGTTTTTTTTTTTAGGTTAGGTTAGGATTTAGGGTTAAAGTTGCTAGTAAAAGAATGTGTGAATTTTAGTAGGTAATATAGATTTAAACTGGGACTCTAAATTTTACCAATTTCAGCATAAACTACCACATTTATTATGTATAATATGAAGTAAAAACTTAATTTTTAATAATTATTTTTAATAATTAATTAGCTGGAGGATTTAGGTCAATCTATGAACATGTTCGATCCTAAAGAGAGCACCTAACGTTTACAATTTATCATAAACTGGCGTAACTTGAAATATGATTGATTAATTACAGAACTATTGATTAGTAAATTTGTTTCTTTCTTAATTTATTTGAAATTATATGAATTCTAGGCCTTTATTATACTAGGAAACGGGAACTGCTTGGGAGCCTAGATATTAAATTTTCTTTGTGTTATACGATCTTTTAAAAGTTTAGATAAAATATGTCAAAACAATTGCATAATAAAAATAATAAAATGAGAAATCAAATAACTTAGCTTTCGATTGATGGCGATGTCAGAATCATTAATTCAAATTAGTTTGATTAAAAATTGTCGTGGATGATGCTGAAATCGGATGAAATCTGAGAGCCTTTAACGTTAAAATCTCTTATTATAAACCTGGTTGATCAATCACATGATGTGGTTTACGCGTAGATCCACGTATAAATATTTGCTTGAACTGATTTTTTTGAAGGCACACCTTTTCAAACGTACAGTATTCTCCTTTTATTATCTATTTGAGTTTTGTCTTTTGTGAGCATTATCGTTAATATTGTTTATTGTTTTTTTTTTTTCTCTTTACACCTGAAGCTCCACTAAACATTTTCTTGTTAAATATTGTAAGTATATTATTAATATTTTATTGATTTGAAATTCGAGTTTGAAAAAATAAATTAAAAATAAATCAAAATATATTTTTTAGCAGAAATAAGGTAATGTATATCTGGAGGAAAAATGGCAACGGGCTCATTTTTGAGTATTTAGTATTCATGATTTTTGCAAAATTGAGTTTTTTCTCCTGCACAAGTCTACTGATTCTGAAGGAAGGGTTAGATATTCCTTGTTGCGGTAAAAAGTTTTGCAAAAGATTGGAAATTATTTACAAGAAAGTGGGTCTATTTTTACTTACCTAAACATCTATCAGAAAACCTATTGAAGTTGCAGACGAAATTTAATACTAAAATTTGGGAACACAAATAACGATCCAGCCTCGTTTGTGGGCTTTTGATCCTGCCGGTCCTCGACGTCGCGGTCCTCTACGTGGCTTATGCCTCAGGGGGGTTCTTGGTCTCTTACACCTAAATGAGACACGAGTGTGGGTACGACATCCTTAAGTTTCGTACCGTCCTATTCCCGAGGTCCTCAACGGGATATAGTTCCGTTCCTTATTTCCAAGGTTCTAAGGTTTTAAGGTTTTGACGTTATAGTTGGATTCTGGCGTCATGTAAAAAACTATCCATACGAGGTTTTGGCGCTATTTGGCGTTATGTAAAAACTTTTTTTTTAAGACTTTGAAACTGCTGGTTCGATTCCAGCAAGGGCAATTTTTTTTTTAGGGTCCTAAGTTGGTTAGATTCTTAGTCTTATGATCTTGTTCGATTTTAATAACAATTAATTTTTGTGATCACCTTTTCTTAGACTCAATAATTTTTTCTTATCAATTTTCACTATCAAAATAATTTAATAATCAGTTATTTGTTAATGTAAAATTTATTTCATTTAAATAATAAAGATAATCGATATAAACATTCAACTGTGATATATGATTCTATGCCAGATGCCAATGTTGTTTTATTATTATTATTTTTTTGTCACTTTATTGCTTTGTAAAATCGAAAAGGAGTGTTTTTTTACTGAAGTATCCTGTTATTATCTTACAAGGGTACCATAAGTTTGGATGATAAAACTTCCACTCCGATCTAAACATTAATGAGGGACACCCGTTACAGCTCTGGACAGTAAAGTCCTCAACTCCGCTCCGGACAAAAACTCTGTTTAAAAATTTCAGATAATTATAACAAATTACGGGGAACTTTGCAATTACTGCAGTTAGACAACAAAAAAAAAGGAAAAAAAAAAACTGGTAAAACAAAGGAGTCTACGAATTAATCGTATCTGGAGCAGCATACACCTAATGCAGTTCAAATGGACCACTCTGGTCTAGAGTTGCAGGTGAAACTAATCTTCAATGGTGCACCGATGATAAAACTAGAGTTATAGATGAAGCTCATCTTCAACGGTGCACCAGGTGAAACTGGTGAAATTAATTAGTTTCACCTGCAACTCTACTCTGGTCCAGTACCCCAATATTACGTAAATTTACAACGTTCAATTTCCATGAACAATTGTATAATCATCTTTTAAATAATTGGTTTAATATGTAGAATATTCTTAATCCTGATTGTCTTTTCCTTTTTTTTATAATCCCGCATTATTCCTGAAATCGCTATGTTACAAAAGAAAAAAATCCCATTCATACATATATATATATAAATATACAAATTTTATGTTAAAGAAAAAAAAAAAGTTCGAAAAGTATGAAATCGCACTATCGAATATCTTTATCTATCCCTTATTTGGCGTAAATGTTGAGTTTTTCTGCAACAGCACGTGGCGTAAGTTCTTCCTCTCCGAGCGTATAGGTGCGCACATTTCGCTTTGTAATAGCATTAATATCAGGTCTCAAATTTTCCAATTCTTTCAACTGCTGTTTTTCAAATATAATTTGTTTATGCGCATATTCTTTTAGGGCTTTAATAAAATCTTGAGTACGATTATCTTCATAATTTTGCAATTCTGAATGAAGGTTTGATGTCACCCGTTTGACACGTGCTTCAAGATTTTGTTCGTAATTTTCAGCCTTTTTTCAATAAAACCATTTTAAGCATTATTGTCAGTTTAGAAGATATAAAGCAGTAACAAAATGCATGAAATAAAAAAAAAAAAAAAAGTACATATTTAAAATCTTTTAATGCTTCGTCCACTTTATCACTCTTTATTGATGTAGAAGATTTTAAACGTTCCATATAACGTTTTTTGCTTATGGTTTCTTTCACTGCGTTTTCATGCTCTGTAATTATTCTGAGACGGTTGGCCAAAGTTTCCTAATATATGTGGCAAATTTCTTTTAAATAATACACATAGCGACAATAAAAAATTAAAATAATAAAATACATACCTTAACTATATGTGCATTAACTGCATAATAACTAAAAAAATCACCAAGAGCTGCTGCTTCACTAATAGCTTGCGATCTTTGCAATTCACTGATAATTTGAAGTGTCTTGCCAAGTTTACGAAGACCACTATTTTAAAAAAATGAATTTTAATTCTCGACTACAATACAACCTTTATAATAAATTATAATAAATTACTTTGATAACGGCGGATGTTTTTCAACAGTACCCAAACCATGAGACTTAATACCAAATTCAGTGTTACATATAGCCAAACCTAAAAACAGTCAATATAACAGTATTATTGAGGTAAACAAACATTATAAATGATTATATGATGATAAAAAATTCTTTTTTTTTTTTTTACCTTTTCGTAACTTGGCCAATTTTTGTACATTTCTAGCAACATCGATAAAATTTACTTCAAGCATAAGTGAGGTTGACTTGGCTTGAGACAAATCCGTATCATCATCCTTCACTTCTAAAGAGAATCTAAATCTAAAACTGCCAGATCTCTTTCTCGGTTTTGTAGCAGGAATAAACTAAATATATATATATAAACAGTTAATTATTCTAGATAATATAATTTATTCAATTAATAATTTAAACCAACTCACTGCAAAATCAGTTTCAATAAACGATCTAAGCTCTTCATCGTGACATAATATAGGATTAATTGATACGCGATTCACCCATTTTTGCATTGCACTCTTTACCCTACGTTCATCCTCTTCAGTTCCTTGATAACTAGTCGTTGAAAAAGGCAAGGCAGGAACTATGCACTCCGGATTAGAATAGGCTAAAGAGTTATATAATCGTTCGAATTCATTATAGGTACGCTCGAGGTTAGAATATGAAGTATGTTTGAATCTTGGTAAATTTGTCTTTAGGGAAATGTAATATTTCTTAGTAACAGCAAATCGTAGAATGAGCAACGTGAAATAAGAAAAAAAGAGTAAAAATTTTATACAATGGCTTTGAATTTGAAAACTGGATCACGACGGTTTTTGTCTAGAGATGTGATCGATATTCGTAAGTAATAACCTTCTTCTTGAGGAAGTTTAGGTAAAGGATCGTTTCTTTGCCTAGGACGAGATACTTTGTTTGTAGAAACTTGACGTGTTTGATTCAAGCTTTCGTTCTCGTTTACTAAAGGTTCTTGTGGAACTGCCATGAAAAAGATTACTACAGTTTTATGGCTTCAAATTATAAATTATATAGTTTCTTTTTGAAGCATTAAAAAAAAAAATTTGGAATTTATAATAGAATTATTAATTGAATTAGAAATATTGCATTTTGGGGTGCACACAGGTGCAGTACCCTGAAAATCGCCACACCTAACACCTAATGCTATACAAACGAGTTACATTCCAAATATGACGTCATTAAACCCCTGTAATTTTGACCAAAAATATAATTTTACTAACGTTAAATTGACATTACCGTTACTTTCATAATTTTTTACACGCAGTTTATACATGTCGCCTAAACTGTAAACGAAATATGCGGAATTCATTCTGCGGATCTTAAACACATACTTTTACCTAATATATATTAAAGATTTAAGTAATTTTATGATCATTCTATTTTTAGTACGTAGCAAATTCACTCTTAATCCCAGTTTTGATCGCTCATTCCGACATTATCATATGATTAAATTTCAAGTAATACACGTAAGTAGAATGTAATAAATACTACTTAATAAGTAAAGGATAAGTAATATATAAGCCATTATTTTGCTGCCTAAATTCCAAATTTAGCTTTTTGTAAAACAAGATCATATGATGAATTTTGATTGGCTGAAATAATGATAAATTTTCACTAGATAATCAATAAACTTCGAGAATAAAGTGATTGCACAATAAATTTAGGTTTTACGATAATGTTTGGATATTTTAAACGGTCACTCGATGTTGCTAAAGAAACGGGTTCTAGAAGTAAGTGTATTAATGAAACTTCTAATTTAAAGCACAGTGACATGCAAAGCTTATCGATCTATTTAAATTCATAGTTTTGAAAGCTGATCCTTTACCTTGGAAAAAAGAACAATTATTACTTTCGCTAAATTCTCAAGAAGACCTCAAAAAATGGGCGATTGGATGCGATAAGGATATTGGTGGTATGTATCTTTTTTTAAAGTACTGCAAAAAATGATAAAAAATGATATTTGATAACGAGTATTTTTTTTTAAAAGGATATTCAACTGCAAATTTGGAGCTTACACCGGAAGGCAAAGCCAAATTTTCTGGAAATATTTCATTGGAATTACCAAAAAATAATCCAAGAATAGAAAAAAGCGGATACGCAGCTATAAAATCAAAGGTAATTTTAAATAAATAAGAAAGACTAAATTAAACTTATTACAGTATATATATATATATATATTTGTTTATTTTTAAACAAAGGACCGTGGATCCACATTATTTGGTACACCATGCTGGGATACAACATTATATCGATATTTAAGCATACGCGCAAAAGGTGATAATAAAAAGTATCTTGTAAATATACAAACGGATGGACCAGTTATAAGTGATTTATTCCAACATCGATTATTTTTGAGAAAGCCTGGAGAATGGGAAACAGTTATGGTGAGTAAATAGTGATATTTTTAACCAACTAATTACAATGATGAAATTGAGTATTAAGGTAAAGTGTGAACACATTAAAAGATTCCGTTCACGGATTTTATTTTAACAAATCATGGAGCTATACAAGAGCCACAAATTGAAATGTATAGAGAAAGGGTTAGAACCATTGGGATTTCATTGTTAATGCAGCCAGGACCTTTTTGTCTGGAACTTGACTGGGTTAAAATGATAAATACTGATGAAACTATTGGTAAGTCACATAAATATTAATTCCAATGATGTATTATTCTTTCGACTGTTGTTAATTAGATTATTGAACTGGTTATAGGGGATTATGATAGGATATATTTAGGTAGATAGGCATTTATAGTGGGTTACGATAGTAGACGTGTTTTTGCGTGCGATTAGTATCAGTATAGGTGCCACGGGATTTCTTGACCTGTTGAAAGAATTTTGATATGAAAGATTAAGAGGTATAATTTTGAGTCTTGGAGTTAAGATAAACGACTATTGTGCAAGCAATCTAGTTGCGCCAATATTTTTTTAAAAAATACGACCAGATTTTGATGTAGTCACAAAATCGATATAATCACTGTCATAATTTTTAATGGATTGGATTTCGTTATACTATTGTCAATATATTGTACTACAGCGTGACATTTTTTAAAAGATATCTTTATTTTTAAATATACTATATTTGTTAATAATTATTATATAGTAAAAAATAAAGATAGAAGTAACTATATACATGCTATATAGTAAAAAATAAGACAGAAATATACTATATTCATGCTGCTGCGTATAGTAAAAAATAAAGATATGTAGAAATATACTACATGTATGTAACAGTATAATTTTGAAAAATTATAATCAGCTAAAATCAAATTTTAATTTAACCCTAATTTATATATTAAAAAAAGTCAATTTTTAAAAATTGGTTTAATTTACTGTATAATATATTACATTCAATTATAAATCACAAAAAATAATTACCTAATTAAACAATTATTTTCTTTTTCAATGCTAAATATTTTTATTCGAACAAAGATACTAACTGCCTGACCGTTTTATGAAATATAGTTAACGCTTATAGTGAATTTTAGTAAGCTTGATAACTTTATGTAATGTAGTATTTAATATTTTAAAATTTTACTCCATTCAAAAAAAAAATTGATAATTAATTTCTAAATAAGAAATTTGATTGGTATTAATATTCAATAAACTTTTAGAAAGTTTTACCAAAAATTTGGGCAATACTTACATGTTGTTTAAAATTAGTACATTAATTTGTAATCCTTAAAAATTATAAACTTTAATAAAGCTTGGTTTTTGTTTAAATTAAAATCATAAAAACAAGATTAGAGCCAAAATGAAACTTTTTTTCTGTAAAAACTATATATAAATTAACACGTTCAATAAAATTAATAAAATCAAACTTACTCTATGCTCTAGATATGCCTATGATTTCTCTTTTGATTCTTTTGATTCTTTTGATGGATCCTTTTCTGCTAATTCCAATTCAATACGTTCCTTAGCCCGAACTACTTTTGACTGCAAATAAAAAGATCCTCCAGAAGAAGTATCGTTTACTTTGAATAAATGTTCGTAACTCTTGGAAGTAAGAGAATATTGATAATTTTGCATTAAATAAATATAAATATATATATATATGTAAATATTTATAAAATACCTTTGTAACTTGCTCGGGATTTAAATCAATTTTCTTAATATTTAAGATCTGACACGCTTCATCCATCGTCATTCCTGTCTGTCTCGACAAAGCATCAGCACCTCTGAATGCCGAACCGCCATTTTTTCCGGCGTCTAATTACAAATATTAATGAATGATTGTACATTTGCTTATAACTTTTTTTTTTGAAAAAAAAAAAGGACGAACTTGCAGAAGCTTGTTTAAACGCTTCAATAAATGCTTTCCCTACGATTTGTGTGCCTACAAGAATAATCTGTGCTATTACTCTCCCCGACTATTGTAAATTTTAAAGTTTGTAAGCCAGAAAAGTAAGGATCTAACTGAAGTAGTGAAGAACCTCAAACCAACCATTTTGCGATACTGAAACAAAATCTTAAATTTTTATTCTTATATATATATATAACGGTAAAACTCAACGCGTGATATCTATCTATCACGTGCAACGATTGTACGGATAATAGATGATTTTCTTATTATCGTGGAAAATGGGAATATCACGGAAAGTAGGGATTTATAAGTACACAGTCCTAAAAATATAACTTCCAAAAAAGTCTCGACGTAGAAAGTAAATGAATTAAAAGACGAGCGTGATCGAGCTAAAATTTTGAATAATCCGAGCAATTTAGTTATAACCAATGCAGAATTCTAATTCATCACCGACACTAAGGATAATGAATTTATTGTTTGTAGATCAATCTATTAAATGTGCCAGTTTTTTAAAATTAAAGAATGTCTATAGAGTTTAAAAAAGAATGCATCAGAAAACAGTAATATACAGTGGTACTTTGATGTTTTTGGTAAAAAGTTTTTTGCATTCTTTGAAACAGTACACATCTATCGGCGATGCGACCCCGAAAATAGAATTAATAGATCAGGTCCGATTTAGCAAAATTCACGACAAGAGTATTTGCTTTTTTTTCCATAAATGCATTAAAACTTGACTCTTTGGTTTTTTTGCACATAAATAAAGATTAGATTATCGTGTTCTAAAGTGCAGTTACATCCATACTTTGCATTTACATCAATGCCTTTTTAAATTGTGTAGTACTATTTCTTATCACTAAATTCATGACACGTGCAATATTGTCTACGAATACGTTTTTAACTGCGAACAATATAAACCTGTGTCACTTTAAATTTAATTTAACGTTAATCGAATACCGATACCGTATCGGTATTGGTGTCAACTTTGGAAGAATTTAGAAGGTTTCATTTTCTCACGATATGATTGGCCTTAAATTTGAATAACGCAATGTATTACGTAGTTTTTAAAATCAAATCTTTTTTCTGGACTATGATTTCTGCATTTATTTTCTAAATTTTCTAAATTTTCTAAAAGATGGAATGTCAAATTTGTCACAATTTTCATCGCAAATTTTGGTGTGCAAACTGTATTCGACAAGAGTAAGAATTTTATCGAATACATCACATTTGATTTTTTTTTTTTATCTTTCTAATTTAACCAATTTTCTTTTAAGGTTACATTCACATAAAGTCAAAACAAACCAAATCTCATATGAAAAACAAAAAAGAGTTGATCTGTCAAACAATTTTCTATCAGGGACGATGAGACAAATACAAGTGAGCGTAGCAGAGAAACATTCAAAAATTCAAAAAGTAAACAGTTTGGAGCTCGAGGTAAATAAGATAAGGGAAGAAATCGGTCGAGGTAAATATTTAAAATATTTCATCCAACTTATTTACTTTTTACTTTACCAAAATTTTTTTTATATTAAAATTTAAATAAATTTCCGTGCTAATTTAAGATCGTCAGGAAATCGATAAATTAAAACGAAACATTCAAACGCGGCGGCAAGTTTTGCAAGAATCTCTTGCCTACTTTAAAAAATTTAAATCTCATCAACAAGCTTTAATTACGAAAGACATTGATAATACAAAAGAAAGGTGGCGGCATGTACATCAAGTACTTGCGCACTCAAGAAAAGTCTTGATCGGTGAACTTGTTTCTTTGTTCGATCTAAAAAGAATACCAATTCAGGAAAATCATAAAATTAGAGAGAATGGTGGTATATCAGAAAATGGTCATAAATCAACAAATGGCTTTAGTGATGATGATTGTGAACATGCAATAGCTAGCATAACTTTGCCAAAAAAAGCCCATTACATAAGTAAGAAATATTATTGATTTATTCAAATTTCATTGTCATAAAAAACAAATAATATTGATAATTGGATACCCTATGAATATTTTAGATAGGAAAGAAAGTGAAATAACAAAAATCAATACCGCCGTCGGGCACGTGATGCATATGATTGGATTGATCGCATATTATCTTGGCATAAAATTGCCATTTCTAGTAATAAATAAGGGCCATAAGTCTTTTGCTAAGGGTTCAATTCATGGAATTCCAATAAGGTATAACTTATTTAAAATTAATTTATCTCCTTTTTTCGTTTTATAATACTTCTTTATTAAAGTCTTCTACTTTCCGGATTTTACAAAAAAAAAGTAAAAGGCCTCTTTATTTGGCTGATCGTAATTCTGAAGATTTTACTATAGGAATGGCGATGCTTAATTACAATATCGCATATTTATGTCATACACAAGGTGTGGATATTCCTTATCCCAGAGTATCACATACACTACAGAATTTATTTTTGTGTTGTCAGGCGGCAAATCTTGGGCGGTAAGCATAAATACTCTTAATTTCTAGTCATTTAATTTATTAATCATTTAATTGATTTTTACACTCTTGAAAAGGATGGGTCACCTCACTGCTTTGAATCGGATTTTTGACCAATCGTTCAATTTAGAATTTGAAGAGGTTGTAAAATGGATGTTTCTACGGAGAAATGGGAATGATTTAGAAGATGGTGAATTAAGGTTTAATATACCGGGCGCTCTATATGATTATTTTGAAGAAGGTATAAATTTATATATAAATTTATATCTAATAGTTTAAAACTATTGCTTTAAAATTTTTAATAATTAAATTTTATTTATAGATATTGATGATGATAATGAAAATGTGGATGGGGAAACTTGGGTTCTTTGTGACACTGTATAGACTGTAGTAACCTAACATCTCATGCCAGTTAATCATGGTTTAATACGATTATTATACAAATCGTTTTTACTTGATTTCATTTAATTGGCCATATCTATTAAAGGTCTTTAATTAGATTTTTAGAGAATGTTTAACGTTTTAGATCAACGGTTAAATTTATCGCATGTACTATAACCATTTATACCATAATTGTTAATTCAATTTTAGACAACTATCTCAATGTTAAATAGACACATTTAGCCAGATCAAAACATATTAGATATTATGGTTAATATTTGTAACTAATTTTAACGTGTAATTTACGTTGATTGATTTATATTATCGAAAAAAAAAAAGATGCAATTTTTCAAACTATAAAAACAGAAAATTGAAAGTTTAATTTAAAAAATATACGTAATAAGCTTTTAAATAAGCTGTTTTGTATTTAGCATTTACATGTTTAAAAAAATATTTTGCTATAAATAATTTAAATAAATTATTAAATAATTCTAACTTTAAAAAAAATGTTTTATAGATATGGTTTCTTTTTAAGAAATATAATCAAAATAACCATGGTGATTATCACCACCCTAGATATATTTAGGGTAGGGTGCAGCTTTAAGACATATAGAAGTTTTTTATATAATATAATGTTGATTAGATATAAAGTTTTAACTTCAGTTTTTATAAAGTTTTCGAAAGTTTTGAACATTTTTACTTAGAGTATCTGATTCTGTTTACTTAGTACGTTTTTGAGATATAAGCACCCTGGTGATAATCATCACTGGTTATAGTTAGATTTATTCTTTTTTTTAATAAAAATATTTTATTAGTTTTAAATACTTTACAAAATTTAATTTATAGTCTATTATTAGCTATACAGTATATTACATATTTATTTTATATATAATCTTTTTTATTTTATTTATACATACTTTAATATACATTAAATTAGTTTATATAAATTTTATAATTTATTAATATAGTAATTTAAAGTTTTTTTGTTTTTTTTTTTAATTTGATAGCCATGTTACATGCCTGCTTTATTGATGAAATACTATATTTTCTGAAGGATTTGTTCAAATTACATCATGCTTTACGGCAAAAAAACTAGAATGTGGCTCGCCCAGTTTCCAATTGGATCTATGTGCAATCTGCCAAAGATGAGTTCAATCTCCCCAGTTAGATTTGGCTTACTTTGCTTTAACTGACCTATTCCTGGATTACTGATCTGATTTACCAGCTCATTATAATTGCTTTATTTTCCAACCTTCTTCTTCTAGCCTTCTAGATAGAAGAACTATCAACAAAAAACAAAAAAAAAACAAATATGAAATAAAAGAAAAACTAAAAAGGAGAAAAGTTTAAACTAAATAAAACTAAAAAAAAACAAACAAAATAGAAAGAAAACAAGAAGAAAAAGGTAGTGTTCAAAGATAAGCCAGCTTATCACGACTTGCTGTGGCTTACTGCAGCTTATTACGTGATAAATTCAAATTTATTATGTGATAAGCCACAGTAAGCTGTAGCAAGCCATGATAAGCTAGCTTATCTTTAAACACTAAAAAAAGGTCGAAAAAAAAGATAGCCATGATGACACTATTATTGCCTATATTAGACTATAAAAATTATATAATATTGTATAAAAAAAAATCCAATCTAACACTATATGTACTAAAAGAAGTGGAAAAAAAAAAAAATCTAATATTAAAAAATTTTTAACATATAATCCTTTTGATTTACTATACTGTAAATAGCAGTATTGTACATGAGACATATCTATACTATATAAAATGTCCAATGTTTAAAATTGTCCAAAATTGTTCAAGCCTATCTCTTATGTTTAACTAATCAATAAAATAATTTAAAAAAATATATAATTATATATTTTTTTAGGTGCTGGACTATAGATACTAGTAAAATACAGTGAAATGTAATAAAATAGTTTCATCACTATTGGTGAAATTGGTGGTGAATTGGTGAAATTAGTAAAATTAATTTTACTAGCATCTATATGCTGGACTTATTGGTAAAAAAATTAAATAAATTATCTTAATAAAATTTTAAAAAATTTTAATTTGAAAAAACATTCAAAATTGTTTAAAATTGTCTTATATATAATATTGGTAAACAGTACTGCTATTATTGTTTATTTGGCAAAGCAGTATCCAAATAAACTCATAGAATGTTTCATTTCAGTAAACATATCCTAATTTGGAAGGAGTAAACACTGCCAATCTTTTAGAGGGATATGCCAATTTTTCTACTTTTTGGCCGAAATTTCTAAAAATATTTAGAAATATAGTAAAAAATATATAGTTGCGGATACTTTTAAAATTTTCAAAAAGTGTATTAGAAGTCCAGAACTTCTGTTGTTTCCTCTATGTTCTTCTTTGAAGTAATAGCTTTATTGATAACAGAGGCCCAACAGTCTCTTTACCAGAATTTTTTTATATAAAGGCACTACACAGCCAGTTATTTTGTATAATAATGCTTCTAGCTTGCATGCCGAATGTCAACTTATAGAGAAGTCTTTTAGAAAAGCAGTTAACCTCCAGACAAACCACTATAAGGCCATGTTTCTTCAACAAAAGTAGTGTTCTCTATTTGTTAAAATTTTAATACAAGTAATTGATAAGAAGAGTTGCTAGGTAATTTGAAGTTAAAAATATAAATATATTTTTATTTAATATATTTATGACAACTTAGAGTAGTGGTAAAGTTGTTGCATCTTCAAACTAGCTTGTAACAAAGGTATTAAGTTCAATTCCACTAGTAATAGTTTAGACAAAAATACTTTTATTACAAGTTAGATTTTATTATTTGTAATTCTAGTTATATTTATACTTATATATACTAGAAGATTTTAGAAATATTTGTATAATATTTGTATTGTATAAAGAAATGCAAACCAGCTTAAGTAATACAAATCTATAATAAAACTTTTAAAACTAATAAAGAAAACTTGAAGATTTAAACCAGCTTGGTAAAATCTAAAAATAAAATAGTAAAGATCTTTGATAGTATTACAAAACAGAATTAAACTAAACCAAGAATTAGAAAAATTAGATAACAAAAGATTTTACTATATAAAAGAATTTACCAACTTAACTGCCAAAGTTATATTAGAAAAAAAAAATTTATATTTTGAAAGCTACTGTATATCAAGAAAAGAGAGACTATAAAGTATCTAAAGCCTAGACAAACCAACTCTGCCAAATTAACTAAATTGAAAATTTAAGAAAACCAAAAAGCAAAAAATAAAAAAAATAAAAATTGAATACTGAGATTTAAATATTAAATCTTACAAGAGTAAAAATAAATAATTATAAAAGTAACTTTCAAGTAAATTAAACTATATTGTAAGTTACTAAAGTCTAAATGATAGTATATACTATTTTAGCAAAACTAGCAACAGCTATTTACAGTATAATTCTAAAAAGTAATTTCTTAATAGGTTAAGAGTAAAAGAATAGAAAAAGTATTAATATACAATAATAATCACTATAAAGCAAGCAGGTAAGCTTTATATATATGAGGGTGAGTTAGTAAAAACGCACTATGTTTTTTTTAATGAAATTTTTTTGAATCTTCAAACAAAAATAAATTAGCAAAAACTTAACCAAATTTAGTAAAAAAATTTTTAAATAAATTTTACAAGTTTTTTAATTGGTTTAAAAAAATTTTTATTAAATTTAATTAAGTTGTTGTTGAATTATTCTTGTTTAAAGTTTCAAAAAAATTTATTTAAAAAAAATATAGTGTGTTTCTACTGACTCATCCTCATATAAATAAAATATACAAATTTGAAATATAACATTGTAAGATTAAGAATCTAAAATATATACAAATTAGATTAAATCTAATTTATATTAAATTAAATTTGTAATTTTTTTGTAATTATATTACTTAACTATTTAGATAAATAAAGTTAAAATTATTCTTAATAATAGTATTATTGGTATCTTTTAATATATAACAACTCTTTCTGATGATCATTTAGACCACCACTTTCCAAAAATTTTTTATAAGAAAAAATACCGGATGTCAGAGCACCTCAATGAAACGTTGAAGTTTAAATTGTGAGACATGGAAAAATGGCTTGTAGCACAGCTCTTGTCATTTAGAGGTAGTTCTTATACACTACCTGCTGACTTGTATTAGAGTTTATCACTCACTGTTCCTTGTATCACAGCACTTGTCGTTTAGAGGTAGTTCTCATACACTACCTGCCGACAAGCAACCACGTGCTTTGTTGATTTATGAATGCGGTGCTACAGTACGTGAATAGATACGGTACCCTCATTTAGGAGATATCCGAGTTAAGTCAGTGCGCAGAATGAGTTCTAAAAATAAAACAAACATTTTATAACGAGATATAATAATTAGTTGCAGTTATTATATAATTTTTATTATCAAAGTGCTTGTCATAGCTATACATACTGGCAAAATTAAAAACTTTAAAATACTACCCAAATTCCAAATCCCATATCCCAAATTCTATATTCCAAATCTCATATCCCAAATCACATCCAAATCCCAAATCCCACTCAAATCCCAAATCCCACCCAAATCCCAAACCCAAATCCCAATAAAATTATCATATCAGAGTAATTGTAAGAAATCAAAAATCACAATTAAGCAATTTCTTAGTGATTTCTTTCCCAAAGAAAAACTTTTTTTTTACTAAGTAATATTTTCAAACTTTAAGTAAAGTTGTAGAGGAGTATCTTGCGATCAAAATGACAGTTAAACCATTAAAATTGGCCTAGTGGATCGTGAGATATGAGTACTTTAGTCTTCTCAACTATATATTTTCTTCTTTATAAATAAAGAAAAAAATATATATAGTCATGAAGACTAAAGTACTTATATCTCATGATTTACTAGGCCGATTTTAACATTTTAATTGTCATTTTGATTGCAAGACACTTCTCTACAACTTTACTTAGAGCTTGAAAAGATGTTTACTTAGTAAAAATTTTTTTTCTTTGAAATAAGATTTGGAATTTGGGATGAGATTTGGGATTTGGCCAGGTTTGGGATTTGGGATTTGGGATGGGATTTGGAATTTGTTCGAGTTTGGGATTTGGGATGGGATTTGGGATTTGTCCATTTTTGTCATATGGGATTTTCAAGTATGGCTGGACAATCCCATTTGTCCAGATTTGTCCATAGACAAATCCCAAATCCTATAAGTTTTGCCGGCAAGTATAGTCATAGCTATCTTCTCTTTTTTCATTTTTTTCATCTCTGTTCAATTTATGTTAGACTACTTTAGAATTTTGTTTCTTTTGTGTTTTTTTTTTTTTTTTCTATCATGAGGTTTTTTTTTCTAAAATGTTTAGGTCTTTCATAAACATGGCTTAAATTTTTTCTTTTATATATGAATAAGGGTTAATGATTTGGTTGAGCTTAGGTAAAAGAAGCTTGAAAGAAGGAGAGGTAGTCATGATGGGCGGTAGGTACTATCTGTTGAGAGCCGGTTAATATCTAAATTCAGAAGAGGCCGGATGGAGGAGAAACCTACTATAACAAGTTATATATAGGTGCCAATTAGGGTAACTGGGTAAGTCGCAACTCGTAATTTAGGTGACTTAGAGTGTACTTTGAGTATGGCACTTGTTGTTTAGAGATAGTTCTTATATGCTATCTGCTGACTTGTTTAGAGTTTATCACTTACTGATAAATCTTTTTTGTAAAATTTTACTGTTCTATAAGAATTGTACAAAGCCTAATAAAGTTGTGACATAATTGCTGAATTTGAACAAAAAAAAAAAAAAAAAAATCTTTTAATATATAAGCAGTATTATTAATAAACCAAATTATATATTTTTGTATATCAAAATATTTTTAACAAATCTCAATAACTATATTAGTATTTTATTTTTATAATTTATAAATTAACTATATTGATTATTAAATAATTTTTTCTTTAATTATTAGATTTTTTATTCTAACTATAAGTTAACTTATTAGCAGAAACACTAAAAATACTTGTTTGTTAAATGTTTTTAGTTAAATTTGAATTGCTAATTCAGATATTTGTTTATACTAAGTTATAATATACTTTCTTAAAAACCAACTTTTTGATAATTCATCTGTTAAAAACTTATAAATCAATTTTGTATAGTTAAATATATTAAAACTTGACTAAATTAAGCTAATTTAGTTGAAAGCCAAATTATACCCAAAGAATAGTGTTTATCATTTGATTTAAAAAATTTTTTAACTTGCTTTTTAAAATCTTTAAAAAATATTTTTTTAGATCAATATACTAAAAAATAAATTTTGAACATTTAATAAAGTGTTTTTTAATAAAAATAATAATTTTGTAATCCAAGTAACTTAGTTTTTGTAATAAATATTTAATTTTGTTGAATTAACTTTTTATTTTAAAATTGAAGCTAATTATATTCTTTTTGCAATGCAGCATAGCTTGATTGTGGTTGATAAAGAGAATTAGAGATTATTTCAACCAATTATTGTTGTAAATATAGTAATATAATTTTTTCTTTATTTTTCTTTTTGGATTTTCATTTTTTCTAACAGTTTAATTGCAATTTTTTTTTTTTATCATCACCTAAGTTTTGAATAAGTTCAATAGGATTTTCTTTGGAATTTTTGGGATTTTTAGAAGTGTTCTCTTTTTTTTTTTTTGATATTGTGTATAAAAGATAAGATATTATCTAAGTTCTCATTTTCAAGGCATTGAAGAGAATTGGTTACTTTTTTTATTTTTTTGGCTTTCTCACGATTGGCTGACAATTGTATCATTTGACGACGTTTTTTTGAAAATTTTGGCATTACGATTAAAGATATGAATGAAAAATCTCTTTGATGTTTATAACAGCATTTGGCTGCTTTTAATAAGTTTTTAACAATTAATAAATACATACAATAATGATCCTTTTAATTAGATGAATTTTGACTATTATAAACTCGATAATTTATTAAAAACAATTACAATAAACGAAATATATACAATTACATGTAAATTTTATTAAAAAAATTTGTTTAACGTATACAATTACACGTTAAATTTTCTAAATCTCAGCTTGCATTACAATAATCAAAGTCGATCAAAAAAATTTTTTCGTTAAATTAATTACAATAATCAAATTGCATACAATTACACGTTAAGCTTGATCAAAAAAACTTCGTTAAATTAGTTACAATAATCAAAATACATACCATTACTTGTTAAAGCTACTAAGTCAAAAAAAAACTTCGCTAAATTAGTTACAATAATCAAATTGCATATAATTACACTAAGCCTGATCAAAAAAAACATCATTAAATTAGTTAAATAATCAAGGTGCATACAACTTCACAAAAAAAATTTCGCAATAACTTATTTATTGGTTTGGATCAGAGCCAGTGGATTTTAATAGTAGCAAAAATAGCATTAGCAATATCACGACAACCACATAAACAAATCTGACCGAAATTGTTTTACTTTAATTCCTATGTATTTATAGAATTAAAATAAAACAATTTCGGTCAGATTTGTTTATGTGGTTGTCGTGATATTGCTAGTGCTATTTTTGCTACTATTAAAATCCACTGGCTCTGGTTTGGATCTCTACTAAATATTCTTTAACCGCTTTAATAACAATTATATAGCGATAATAACTAAATTAATTACTGCATACTGATACATTAATAAACTTGATCATGATCATGATCAAATATTGCTAAATTAGTTATCGTTAGGGGAGAACCCACACCAATCAAATAGTGCATCTCCTAAGCGAAAGGAAAATGAGCCCAAGGTAATTGCCGAGGTTGGTTCGGTTACAAATCTACCAGATCTGGTATATATCATTAGGCACATGTGTTAGATAGTAATGAGAATCTATTAAAAACCTGAAATTCTATTTTGAATAAATAATTAAAACTTAGAATATGCCAAGTTCAACACTTAAAAAATCCAATTAAGCGTTTCGCACTGATAAAATCCACCCTCCCGACCAGGGTTGGCAATGGAGCTCAAAAAACTAGTATCCATTGACTCCAGTCAAGGCTCTATTGGCACCATTCGCAGCTCGATTGCCAACCCTGCTCCCCGATAAGTACAATTCATATAAAGAATTAGAAACCTTATAATCAAGAGATCTAATAATAACGCTAATTATTCAGGCCACATCTTGATATTATTAGTTGATATTAGTGTGACCTTATCCGACACACATCAACCCCGGGACCAGCAATGTTCAAGAATTTTGCAGGAAAAAAGTATAACCGTAGTTATCCGGGATTACAAAGTCCATTTTTTTCTTCAAATATTCATTAAAAAGTTACAATTTAAATGATTTTTGTTTCATATCAGATACAATTTATTATTAATACATTATATATAATTAGTAATTAGTAATTTACATCTATGATTTTAGATATTTGTGTCATATTATTGAAAGGTTACCCAACAGAGTGGATACGTGTACGTAGGAATCTAACAATCAAAATCAACCTAAATTATTATTATTTTTTTTGAATTATATCCTGGAAAAATAAGTACTGTATCAATTTGCAAAAAAAAAACTAAAGAGCTACAATTCTACGTGGTTTTTTTTTTTTTGTGAATTTTCAAATATTTGTTGAGTTGCAATTTTAAATGTCCTTATCTTTATTACTAAATTAATGTTTACAAATCATTAAAAAATGTTAAATTTTATATGCCAAAGAAAAAAACTCAACGATAAATTAAAGTACATATCTTCTAATATGCTTTACATTATTTTTAGTTAAAAAGAATTAATTTAGCAAGAGTTAAATTTTAAAAATTTTCGCGTTTTCATAGTAAATTCATTGGTCCAAAATTTGAATTACACCCCTGCGTGTTATTTCGCGAAAATACGGTAATTGGTTTGATCATCGTCTACATCGGATTAGTTGACCGACCACCCCTTATCGACAATCATGACCATTTCGGGTTTGCGTGAAACCTTATTGGACAGTTTTTACGCTTCAGACAATAAATCGGTGTTAGGTTTTGACTTTCGACATCATGGAAAAATGGGTTCGTCTACAAACTACAGCTCAGCCTTTTGTCTTTCTTAGGGTTTCGTCTTCCATTAGGACTTTAAATTATCCATCTTTCGCTATAGGTTTCTTTCACCGAAGGATTTGTTTTCACCAGGGATTTCGTCTGTCGTCTTTTGTTGGTTTTAGGTTTCGCCTTTCATTATTACATAGAATAGTTTCGCCTAATAACTTTAGGGTAGATCCTATAAATGTAAAAAGAATTGCAACTGTTACTAAAAATGTAAAAAATGAAAAGGACCAAGGTTTTCTATATGATGGACATTATGACCTTAAATCATTTCTTGCCCTTAAAGACGTTAACACAAATTCTTCAATATATCGCGGTACTTTATATGAATATCAGACCATGTCATGTCTTAAAACAACACTTGGGATTGTTACAAGGCGAGTAGGTAAAGCTAATGATGGAGGAATAGATTTTCGAGGTCAGTGGATATTACCAGATAAAAAACTATATGTCGTTGGTCAATGCAAAGCCTTAGCAAAAAAATGTCCTCCAAATATAATTCGAGAGCTTGAAGGTGTACTTTGTCAAGAAACTGAGGGAACATTATGCATTCTGTCATCAATGAATGGATTTACTAAAAGTGCTATTAAAAGATATATTGCATCGCCTTTCCCTATTATGCTAATAGCAGTTACAGATCATGGAAAGAAATATAGTTGTATTTTATGGAATAAAACAGCCGAAAAATATTTGAATGAATTTCAAGTAACCTTGAAACATGATCTTCTGAATTCAAAGCCTCTTATTTTATATAATGGCAAACCTTTTCTAAATGAAAATGATGATTGATGGTGCGTATTTCAATATATTTCAGTATTATCGTTTACTATTTTATTGTATTTATTCGTTTATTTAAGTGCATTTTTATTTTTTCACGATTAGGAAATCAAATGACACCAATGATTAGGTTCTATTTATGCCATCTATATCAAGTCAACAGCTTTAAACTCCTATCCAATCAAAAAAATTGCCGAAGCTAAAGCTTGAAAAAAGATAAGGGTATGAATTTTTTATTTTATTTTTTTGAATTGATAATTTTTGAATTATTCGATAACCATGTGTCACTTTGTACACACTAGGCTATGAGAATGTTTGCCAAACTCAAAAAGAAAACTAATATAATAATCGAAACTTCTGACATGACTGAGAAAGAAAGGCTAATACTATTTCAAAAATGTTAAGTAAGGCGCAGTATAAGGTCAAAAAAGTAAAATTGGTTGTTGCTAAAGGCCCTGCAAAGATTAAAAAGGCCGTGTTAAAAGAAGATACAAAGTAATTCATTCCGCTAGTACATGTTATGATTATAATCCCACACCATTTTTATTATAATAACAAGGAAATGGACTTTGAAGTATAAAAATCTATTTTTTATTTTTATCTTTATTTATTTTCTTACGTTATTTTTCACAGAACTAAATTCTCTAAATTTATTTTAATTTGAAATGTTAACATAGTTAATTTAATAAATTGATTTTACTTCATTATATCAAAACTTTGGTAATTCGAGTAATAGTTCATCTAATAAGTTTTATGAGAAAATTAATTTCATTGAATTGTCGAATGTAATACACTTTGGTTGATAATAAATTCACA